CCTCCAGGCCCTGCAGGGGCTCTGAGCTCTCCCTGGAGCTTCTCCTCTCCAGGGAGCACCCCCAGCTCTCCAGCCTGGCTCCAGGGCAATCTCCTCCTCCCCGAGGAGCTGCTGCTCTCCTTGCAAGTGCTTTCCAAACAGGAATGTGACAATTATTCATCTTCTGAAGCCCTGGCTCTCTGTGTTACGGTGCTGCCTCCTGCCTCACTCATTCGTTGGTTTTTTAGGGTTTTTGAGGGTTTAATTTGTTGCTGAATTGATCAGATTTAACAGCAGAAATAGAAGGGATCATCCCCAGCACAGGCAGGATCATTTCCCCAGGAATCTCAATGCTTCACCTCCCCACATTCTGCTCTATCTCCTTAAAAATATGATAATGGCTCTTCCAAAAAAAAAAAAAAAATTAATTTCCCTCATGAAATGTAGCTGTGAAATCACTTCTAGTCCCTATTAAGCTGCTTTAGGTGCTTTTGGAAGGCTGGAGTCACAGCTTTCTCCAAACAGCACAGGCATTTAAGCTGCTCTAAGTCCCACTAAGACCTCCCAGCATGGGCAGAGCTGAGGCAGCTGTACACATAGTTCTGGGCAGGCGTAATGGGAGCCGTGCTCACACTGCCCCTGCTCCTCCTGTGGGCTCACCATTCCCAGGAATTCCTCAGGGATTTTTTAAATATAGCCAGCTGATTTCAAATCTGGGAGGTTTTTGGTAAACAATCCCCAATAAGGAGCACTCACCTGCTTCGGGCTCAGTGAAATTCCTCTGCTATTTAAATCCAGCCTCCCTGCTGGTCTCTCTTGCTCCCTCAAAGATGTTTTTCCATGGTTTCCAAGGAAGCAGTGCTGTGTGGTTTTCTTTTATTTTTTTTTTCCTTTTTTTTAACTTGGAAGCCAGAACTCTGCAAGGCAACAAGTAGCTGTGAGTCTTCCCTTGTAGGATTCAGATCCAGCTCCCAGTTAGGCAAAGTGGTGTTGATTTGACTGGAAATCTGCCGAGCCTTTAATGCTGCCAGCGTTAATTAAGGGGTCTAAAAAAACACAAACTGGAAGAAGAGCCCTGATCAGATAAATATCCTTGTCCTACAGATTGCTCCCAGGGTGATCACTCAGCTTCTAGCCCACGGAAAGGAGCCTCCAGCTTTTAATTCCATTAAAATAATGCAGAGGGGGCAGACAAGGCTCTGTCCTGCTGAGCCTCCCTTCCCTACAAGGATGCAGCATCCCTGTTTTGTTGCGATTTCTCCAACAAAATTTGCACCCAGAGCTTTGCAGGAGGATCTTGGCCAGCGGCTTTACTTGGTCTGACCAAGGGGGAGGAAGGGAGAGATGGAGCAGAGGGAAAAGGAGCTGGAGGGGAAGGAAACAAAGCTCGGGATGAGTTGGTCCTTTGGTGTGAATTTGTTGGCATTGGGGGCTGGGAAAGGAGGGCAGCACCCACACAGTGCCCAGCCCAGGGACAGGAACCAGGACAGGAGGTGACACTGGTGGCTCCTGGCACATCTTGCCAAGCCCAGCAGCTGCTGAGCCCCAGCAGAGGGCCAGGAGGGCTCTGGGAGCCTCCTGCAGCTGCACGGGGACAGGGACACACTGGTGTGTCCAGCCAGCTGGCCTTTGGACACCTGAGGTGGCCACGGTGG